GAGTTCCTATTGGTCATGGGGTGAGAACGGGAATTGAACTCTATTAGATCGAATTTCCCGTTGTTCCTCGTAAGCTCAGTGGTAGAGCGGCCGGCTGTTAACACTGAACTGGGTGCCGTAGGTTCGATCCTACTTGGGGAGATTGATGGATTCCGAAATCTGTAATTCGGAATGAAAGGTTTTGCTTTGACCGTAAGAAGAGTAGATAACTCGTTTCCCTTGTCTTTGTTTCTAATTGTTTCGAATCTCATCGTATCCCATTCTGTTCTGCGGATATTTGAGATCGCCGTCAATATACCCCGGGTAGGTTTCGGGATACTCATTTTGTTCGACAGTCCGGGGCTATTTACACCAACCAATTAAGAATTCTTAGATATACTGGTACTAGCATAGCAAGTGCATCTTGATGCATTCATCATTTTCCTGAGAAGCAATTACCACTAGCAAACATTTAATGATGAGGAACGGCCATTTTTTTTTTTTTTTTTTTTTTGTTTTTTGGGGGTTTGGGCTATGCTAATACTACTTTACTTGCCCTCTATTTCCAAACCTGGCTGAGGAAGCGTAACAAAAATGGGTGATGAAAAGATTAGGGCATACTAAATTGATTTAATAAAAAATATATTAATATATATATATATATATATATATATATATATATATATATAAAATTTTGAAATGTAACACATATTTAATTATTAACTGTAAGTATATATGTTGGAAATTTAAATACAACTCTAAGTTTTATATGAATATTGAATAGTATATAAGAATAAAAACTTATAATTTTAGTGTCTAAAGATATTGGAATTCTAAGCTTATTTCACTTAAATATAATTAATAAACATAAAGTGATGTCCACATTTTTTTCACTAAAATACCTTTCTACTTCAATTCTCCAACTTCAATTACCTTTACCTTTATATCAGATTATTAACAAATTTAAAGTTTATCCGTAAAATCTGTTGTATCGGTAAATTTGGTCGGTTGTAAATTTTCATTGTTAATTACCAAATTTCTTATATGCTTAGAATTTAGCCGTAAAATCTGTTGCATTGGTAAATTTTGTCTGTTGCTATAATGCAGTTTTAGCTTTTAAAATCCTTTTATATATGCTTTGGTTTCAAATTAACGAAACATATTAAAATGCAAGGATAATTTTAAAATTTTTACGAAATTATAAGTCCAATTTTCTTGAAAAAACCAAATACTATCAACTTTTATGCTTCAGTTTTTTTAAAAATCGAAACCTAAATAATTGTTAAAATTTCAAAATTTATTATGTTTTTAATTACTTTATTTGAAATAAGAGGTATAAGTCATACTTATTGAGAGAATCAAAGTATAAATATCTTTATGTTTCCCGTTCTAAATAATTAAGACTTAAAGGTCACCAAAATTTCAAGTTTTACATTAAGTGTAGAGTTTTAGATCATTGTTATTTTAAAACTGAAATCAATTACTTTATATGTTTCGATTTTACTAATGATTATTATTCCTTTTTTTTCGTGATTTTTTCTTCTTTATCCTTGCTATTTCTTCTTCTTCATCATCTTCCTCATATCTTCTTTTACGAAAATCCTAATTAATGCTTGAGATGACTTCAAATGGCGTTCCATATTCTCACTTGTACCCTATTAAGAGTATATACAACTTCTTCTCCACTACTTTCGAATAAAGCTCTTGTTACTTATCTAAAATTAGATTCTTCAAAAAAAAAAATTTCTATTGTGGAATATCAGACAAAACTATAATCATAAAACATACCATTTGAACGCCTATGTTCACAACTCATTAAAAAGTATTTTTATTTCAATATATATTTTAAATATTTTTATTTTAATGTGTATTTCATATACTTTATAGAAAATTGTTTATATAACAAAATGGAGATCATCTCAACGTACAAAATGATGTGAGACTAAATCAAGTTTCGTAATACTAACAAGTAACAACTTATCTTTTTAAACACGAGTATTTATTTTTTAAAATAGAATTTTTGCATAATTAAAGTAAACATTCATCCATTAAAAAAATTTATTCATAGATTAATCAGATTACATTTATTTACTTAATTTATTACCATTCAAACTAAAATTTATGTAATTCCCGGTTGGTGTGAAATAAATGACACAATCTTCCCATAGGATGGCTCCTAGGACTGTGGAACTTCTAGTTTTACCATATATCTCAGCATACCACACATAAAGTGAGTTAAGGAGAAAATAATACAATACTTAATCATGCCACTGTCCCACCACTTAATGAGTTATTTATTTATTTATTCATACATATTATATAATGTCTTTTACTTTATAAAATGAAATATTATAATATTGCATTCTTCTTTTCGGAAAGTAATTGTTAAATCACACTATAAATTCCCTTGATTTGTTTCTAAATTATTTTTTATTTCCATGGTCAGAATGTTATAAAATTTCAATCTTTATTGACATTAAAAACAAATATTCATTAAGGACAAAGTTCCTATACAACTGTTATCCACAATATTTTTTTTAAAGTATTCAATGTATAATAGCTTTGATTTGCTAGTCAAACTTATAATAACCGTGACAATAGGCTCACTTCATTTGTTCAACAATGAATAAGGTTTAATGTAATTCAACTCACTACCTATTACTAGTGGAAACACTCAGATCATGTGTCCATTTTTACCTTACAATTATAAAAAATAAAAAAATTAATTAATGTAATTACTTTTACCTTACAATTACAAAACATAAAAAATTAATTAATGTAATTATTGACAAAATAAAAATATTATTATATTTATAAAAATATATATAATTTAAAAGATAAAAAAATAAATAAAATAATTTATATTAATAAGAAAATTTATAGTGAAATAATTACTAAAAAAAATTATATTTATATATTAATATAAAAATAAAAGGATAATAGTTGAACAACGGAAAAGTATTATATAATGACTCTTAATATGTGTCAACTATAATTTCTTATAAGGACTTTACTATAGTAAAACATTAATTTAAATAATATATGTTATTTTTCATCTACATGACTCATTAATTAATGTATTGTCATATTGTCTCACATTAATCTGATAACGTTAACATATGAATTTTAAGCATCATTTATAAATTAAAAAGAAAATTAAGAGTTTAAGTTATTTCAATTCTTTAGTAATTGAATAGGAAATTAGATTCCATTTCTTAAAAAGTATTATTTCGCTAATGTAATATCTATATTATATAACTAAGCATATTGTATATGTTCACTAACCAAAATATACCCATCAAGATTTATAAATTACACCTAATTTTGGATTTAAAAAGTTAAATATTTCGACAAATAAAAATATATTTCATTATGTATAAAGATACAATTAAAGTAAAAGTTAAATAAAAAAAGGTAAATTATTAAAAATTAAGTTAACATATTAAACAAAGGAAAGATTATTACTTTTAAATGTACGAATCGTTTATATAAGATATCTGATGACACTTTAATACAAATCCTAATATTCAATATTTATAAATACTTTTTTATATATTACTCGATTTTTTTCATTTTTATTTAATGTAGAATTTTGAACTTATAGTTAAATATTCCTAATATGATATAAGACCGCAAACATGGAATAACTAACTTCTTAAAAACTAGTATCTATCACTAAAACTTAATCATCCCAAATGTATTTAGTATGTAAACCTCGCCTCTAGGTTTGCTTGAGTTTATTATACAAATAATTTTATATTGAAGTTGCCTCTTACAGTAGTGGTAAATTTTTTTAAGTTTCACACTATTTAATATTTTAATATTCTATTTGATTTAGAGTAGTGGTAAAATAACAAATATTTCTTTATAGTAATAAATTTTGTATATAAAATAAAAAATTTGATCTATATATAACACCAATTCAAATAATCTTTTCAATTGCACACTATTTAATATTTTAATCTTTCTATGTTTCTTTATGGAATATAAATTTCCATTTTCTTTGTAATGTTTTTAAAAGAGTTTTAGAATATAATTTTATTTGAATTCTTACTTTAAGTTAATACTTTTATTTGAATTTATAATATTAAAATGCAATGTTTACTTATTTAGTATAAAAGTCACAATTATTTGAGAAGTATAAATATATACTTATGAATATTAAAAAAAATCACAAATAATTTTTAAACAAATAACTATCTACATTAGCACATCTCACAAAATCTACTAAACATTTGTTACTTTCAAATGAAGCGTGTTAACAAGCTACAATTGAATTGCATTAAGAATTAGTAGCACCTCGCGTATACAAAATGCTATGTTAATAAACATAATATCTAATTTTAAAATATATTACAAAATCAATAATTTAATTATTATGTAATGTTGATAAAAATTTATCTCAAGTAAAATAATTTAAAACTGTTATTTAATAGTTGATTTGATAATTATTTTTGAAAATTTTTGATACATTAATTAATATTTCTTTACTAATTTTTATGAATTTATACATTCTGATAAATTTTAAATTTTTCTTTACTAATTTTTATGAATTTATACATTCTGATAAATTTTAAATTTTGTTACAATTAATTTGTCATAATTAATCATAATATTTGACATGATTTTACTTAATATTGTGTCATAATTTTAGGTTGGATTCAGCCTCTACTATATTAGTGAATATTAATAATATAATTAATATTAAGAGTTTAGTTGTCAAATGATACCTAGTTCAACATTACCATGAATTGGGCAAATATGAATAGTTGTATTATTTCTTAGGAGACGTGATATATATATATATATATATATATATATATATATATATATATATATATATATAAACTAAAAAGTTACACAATTATAATAATTAAATTAAAGGTGAGACATATATTGAATATTACCAGCTACAGTCTTTTTCAGTTTTTATTTCCCTCTTCTTCTTCATAGCAAACATAAACTGGGAAATTCAAACCATACACCTACATCTAAACCCAAAACAAAACAGCCACACACATTTAATTGTGAACAGAGTGTCCAACTCCGGGGCTATGACCCGGTGCGGTGGGTCGAAAATTATCAACATCTCGACCGGGAGCCGCCACAGAAGGTGGCGCTGGTGGAGACACACCCACTTCAAGCGGTGCTACATTTGTCTTCCAAATGCGTCCTTGTATTTGAAGGTGGATGGTTTCTTCTGACTTCATATGTCTTCCCTGGATTGACTGGAATCCCTGCCACAAAATTATTAATGCCATGAAAATCATTGTCACCTTGAACTTGTTTTGAGCCATATTTGTAAGGCTAAAAATCAAAGTAGAATTAGGAAGAAGTATTGAACTATGATTTTCTGATGAAGGAGTGGAAACTGAGTTTTGACAGAATCTAACCAAACTACCCCTTATATAGAGCTCACAAGTTTAGGAATAAAGCGCGGGTGACCTGTGCCACTAGTCACTTCCTAAGTAGTGGGCAGCCTTTCGGCAATCTTTTTAATTTTAATTACTTTAGATTGTGAAGAAGAATGTAAATTAACATTGCATTTTTTTAATGTAATCTGAAGAAATTTAATCTTTATAATAAATACAGAGATTTGAGGCATCATCTCCTTCTTTGTATTTACAAAAGTATAAGAATGAACAAGAAAAAAATATGTGAGAAAAAAGCTGAAAATAAAAGTTATTTAGTGAAATGATAGGTAGATGATGTTAAAATATTATGATTGATATAAAATTATTTCACAATCAATAATAATAATCATAAACACCAACATGAAATGATACGTAAATGATATTAAAATGTTTGTCAAAAAATATTACTCAAAGTTGAAGCAAGTCAAAAAAAATTTCTCATAATTTTCTAATTGTTATGCATACATGAACTTAGATTCATTGATTAAAAGTATAGATATAAAAATAAAATTTAAATGATTCATTTTTATTTTTTACTTTAAATATTAAATCTGTTTTTATCTTATATTACATAAAATTTAAGTTTTTTCAAAACTAAATTATAAAATAATTTACTTTTTGTATTTTATAAAAATAATGCAAAACATCATCCGTAACATATGAGAATTATATTATAATTTACTGTGATATTCAGTTTATCATATAAGAGACATTTCAATGTCATTTATAAAATAAAAAGTACTTTGCATACAAGGAGAAACATTTTATAATTTAAAAATAAAATATAATTTTATATGATAACTTAAAATAAAAAAAATATTTAACTCTTATTTTAGTAACTACTTGTACTTTTTAGTTTAAAAAAAAAAAAAAAGCTTCTCTCTGAAATATTAAAACTTATTGTGTACTTTTATCAAACTCCACCTTCAAACTCCACCTGTGGTTTATATTGGAATGGAATAAATGAATTGATAGAAATGTCGTTTGCCTGTCATATGCATGGGTGAGTGCCAGTTAAGTGGTTGTTATACACTTTTGCATCCTTTAATTTATGGGTCAGCACAAATTTACATCACATGACTGCAAAAAGCTAATGTTCTTGGGCATCAAAGCAATTTTTGTGATGATTGTTGAGGCTTCATTTAAGATGAGATAATTAATATAAAGGGACAAAAGCTGAAACATTGTACTTCAAAACATTATAATATAATGTGTGCAGTGCAGCTAAGGTATGGTGTTTTGCTGTCAGCTCTGTTATCAATAAACAGTAAAATGGCAAGTTGGAAGCTTTGTCTCTATTCTCTGCTTCGCTTTACTATTGCCCAACTCTGCTGCAGTTTTTCTTACTTTGCAATTTTTAATGCAACTGTCCTATGTATTTCTTTTGAAATTTTTATTCAGTAAAAATTATGATTTTTTTTTTCTTACTTTTATTAAACTAATTATATATATTCAAGGTTTGTTGAAATTAGATGGTACTAATCAAAATATTTTTTAAGTTGAATTTTAAACTTGATTTGTAAATTAATTTATGAAATGAAATTTGTATTTATTTATATATTATAAATTGATTTTTTTTATTTAAAGTTTTTGATTTTCATATCAAATTTTAAATCTAAATTAATCTTATAAAATTATATTTACAAATAAGATTTATATCCACATGTAAAATGAGGTTATTTTTAATTAGTATGAGATTTTTTTAAGTTTTTCAAATACTTAATCCACTTTTAATTATTATAAAATTTAACATTATATTCAATTTGTAATATTTTAAGATTAAGCAATGTTATTAAACATTCATAATTACAAGTTCACATTTTTTTTTCCCAAATTGGATAAAATTAACAATAAAGCAGAGCTGTTAAATCTTAAAAAACTGAAAGACTTATAATTAAATGTGAATAGGTATTAAAATTATATGTTCAAAAAATTATGGAGAACAAAATCAATTTATGGATTTATAAACTTGAAAAAAATATCAATGTTTACTCAAACTGAAAGACTTATAATTAAATGTGTATATGTATTAAAATTTTATGTTAAAAAAAATATGGAGAACAAAATTTTATTTCCACTGATTCAATTTTCGATTCTAAATATTATATTTTTTTTCTCTTTGATCCTATTAAAGAATTATAGATATTATGACACTCCTTAATATATATATATATATATATATATATATATATATATATATATATATATATATATATATTATTAAAGATAATTCAATTTAAGAAAAAGATAACCTCTTTATGACCTATGTTTACTTATTTAAATTACTTTTGTTAGATATTTGTCTATACAAATGATTAAGGAAAACCTAAGTATAACTTAATCATGATTTTATTTTTACATCGAGTGTCTAATCCTATGCTTGTTTAAATGATATTTTAATATTTAATACACATTGTGATAAAAAGATTGTCATCTAGTTTAATATTTAATATAACTTATTAATTATATATGAGCTATCCAGGCCAATAAATTAATGCACATTTACATAGTTATAAAATAACCTTACAGTTACCTTTTAACTATACAACCTACTTTTTTTTTAGCAAATCGTGAAATTTTTTTAAGAAGAATATCAAAATTAAAAAGATTTGAAAAAAAATTACAAAGTAGTAGGTAACTCGTATCAAAGCGACATGATTTTCCCGTAAAAAAAATAGTCTCAAAGTTATATGTTTTGAGTTTAAAATATTTTTAAAGTTAAAGTTATGTCCAGATAACACAACTTTAGTTCATAACATTTTATATTGAAATTATGTCATCCTAACACGACTTCAGTTTAAAATGTATTGAACTAAAGTTGTGTCACCTTAATGCAATTTTATTATGAAAAAGTTGTGCTAAGATGATTGATTTAACTTGAGTTCAAAGTATTTTTAAAGTTAAGTTGGGTCAAAAAGGCACAACTTTAGTTTAGAGGATTTTAAATTGAATTCGTGTCACCCTAATACGATTTTTACCAAAATTGAATTAAAGTCGTATTATCTTCACACTGTTTCAATTTAAAATATATACATTGAATTAAAGTTGTATTATATTAAGCCAAATTTGGCTTAAAAATATTTTACACTAAAATCGTATTATCTTGATATAATTTTTTTATAATAAAGCGTATCAATGTGACATGTCTTACTTATATCATAATTTTTTTCAAATATATTCAGTTTTAGTAAATTTTCTAAAAAAATTCACCACAATCATGTTTTTGCCAAATTTTGATTAGGAAAAATCTTTAAAATACGAAAAATTTCATATATATATATATATATATATATATTTGACAAAAGTAAAATTATTTTATTTTGATAATGGTTATTTTTTTTAATATTCATGGCCACATCTGTATAAAAAGCTTCCCTTTTAAATATATTTAGTGTATTACAAAAACGAGAAAAGTGGGACGTAAATTGATGGGTTTATTATTTAATTTCACGATTAATTACATTTTGGCACCCTGGTCATGGGTTCAACATATAATAAAACTGAATGGGTATATTCTTAATTTGGTTAATGAGTTTTAGTGACGGAGCAATTGACTTTTTGTGACAACAAATATAACAGGGTATTCGCAAAGGAAAATGATACTTGAACAATCATTTTTGACAACATTTAGACACGCGCACACGTGTCAAAATCTGAGTGGTCCAGTTGGAAAAATTAAATGAAAATGGACCACTCAGATTTTGACACGTGTGCGCGTGTCTAGATGTTGTCAAAAATGGTTGTTCAAGTGTCATTTTCCATTCGCAAATGTCAAAAGCAATGCTGATGTATATTTCAACGCAACTTTTTCTTTCATTCACGTTTCTTTAAGAGCTGTCTCCTTTATTCAAATCTATGAATTAGAAGTAGTTACATTTGTTATTGTTTATTCGTGTTTCGGTTTTCTTTATTGTACCAAATGAGATAAATTAACTTTAGAAGAAATTAAAAAGGTAAGTGAACCTTAATTTATAATGCACTGCTTACATTTATTACATTATCACTTTCCAATTGCATAGAAACTCCGATGAAATAAAAGTTCAGAAAGCATACTTCTTTCCATACTATTCTTTATACATAAATTTGAAAAGGATTAATGTTAACTTTGTATCTAAATTCATAACTAACTATAGAATTATAGTATTTATTATGCAGGTATTGTTTTTCGCAAAGTTATATTTTTTGTTTTAGTTTAATTTTGTTTACCTACATAGAGATTAATTAATTTACCATTCCTCTATTCTACGGAGAGTGGATCTCCGTTGGGACTTCACTCAGAGTCAACTTTCCAACTAGATTTGAAACTGAATGTTAAGGTTAAATAGAATTTGTGTTGTGGTTGGTTAATGATGGCAAGTAGCCATGTTTGTTGCTGTAACTTTTTTTCACCATTGCCAAATGCAACCATAAGATAAAGAACAATCGTCACCAAAAGTCACCATAGTTGTAAGCATTTGCTGACATATGTTCCAATGTCATTAATGTCACTGCTTAATGAACTTTACCTTATGCAACTCGACAGAGACAATTACATTTTCTTAAATTTTTCCCATAAAAATGGTTTCACGTGAGGTCACTAAATATATGACGACATTCTTAACTCCAAAATTAGTTTGATTTTTTATCAGCAAACAAACCAAATACTAATTAGGGAATCTTAAATCAAAGCTTTACAATTTGAATTAACCTTTCTACAATACAATGAAAGAGAGTACATGATGTCCGTGACTTCGAGAAGCTAAAAGCGTAAAACAATTAATGGGATGCCATATTGCCATTTCAGAGTTAAAATTAAACCAAACAAACAAATCATTGAACACAGATTTGAACAAAACAATAATGATCTTTACTTAAATCAATTAGCTGACAAAGACATGTACATGTTTCACTGAACAAAGGGGAGGAAGAAAGAAACAAAAGAAAACTAGAAAGGAAGAAGAAGCCATTCATTTCATCAACCGTGTTAGTAGGTGGGTGACCAAAAAAGGCATAGAACACTGAGGTAATGTTCCAGAGCCAAAGCAAAATTTTTGAACCCTGAGGCTTTACTGGGGCAAAAGATGAGCGAAGTTGGTATGGTATTTACACCTTTTTCCAGCAGTCAGAATAGAAGAGACTACGACTAATAGTCAGCTTCAAGAAAACTCTCGTAAACGGTTCCTTTCAGCGTTTTGTTAACGTCATCCCAGTTCTGAATGTGGTCTGACAATGGTCCTCTATGTATCTTAACATGACGGCTCGTTAACTCCATCTGAGGCAACCCTAAGAACTCTTGAACATCTATTAGTTTCTGCATCAAACACACAGTGAATACAATCATGTAATGAAGAGTGAAAACCAGAAGAAATGATTAATCCTGTTTTTGGTTGTGGAAAAAGAATTCAGAAGAAAGAAGTTGAAAAAATACAGACATGTCATTTTTAGTTCCTTGGTAGAATAGAAATAGGTGAAAAATATAAAACAAAAAGTTTTGGAAATTGTGTAATTTGAAGTATTATTAACTTCACTCTAGGAGCTAAATCCATTTGTTGTCATATTTTAGATAAGTATTTAGCTAAACTCAAACTATAAGTTATCACTGGCAGATTGTGATAGCATAACATCCAAAAGGATTTTTCCTTTCTATTTTGCAACCTTCAAATGATTTAAGATTTTATGAAGAGGTCCTTACAGTGTGATTTCTCATAAGATCCTCATAGTACACAATCATTTGCCGAGTTCTGTTGAAGTATTCTAAAGCTTTAGCAGATCTCATCTCCATATCCTTCAAGTCATCCAGCAAGGATGTCGAATTAATGATAGGCTTGTACTTTGAAAGAATATCCGCCTAAAATAAACCAACTATGAGCCTCACTACATGACTATAATAAGAGAAATCAAACGAAAGGTGGATGAAGAGACCTCTTCTGCAGAGTGTACATGAGCCTTGTGTGTTCCATTCAATAGCTTGGCATAACGATCATATGAATTGGCTAGCATTGATACCATCCTGCGTAGCAAGTTCCTCCGGAAAAGAAATATAACAGAAACACGTCTGCGGTTGAAATACTCCGCTATTTCCTTATGGTGTTCCATCAACCCCTGCAAAATCCAGATTTCTCAGTTCTTTTATTATTTCAAACCAGATCAAACATCAGCATAAACTAGATGGAAACAGAGTCTGAGAGCGAGGGAGAAAGAGCAGGACAGCAAATAGATGCGAGGTTAACAACATATGTGAAACTCCAAAAATTTCATAGCCACATGAATTTCCAGTCCATAAATCCATCCTAAAGACGATTGCTTTCACATTTATGTTTCCTGATCCTGAAGTAACAATAGAACTAGAAGTGCATTTTAAACACAAGATGACTCAAGGTCAAAGAAATACAAGTAAAGCAAAACAAAAATGCAGAGGATCTTTGAATTTTAGACTCCTGATCCTCAAGGAAAGAAACTAGAATTCTTCACACCGAACATTCTTAATACTATTTCTTGGCATTACACAAATTCTTATGAGCACTTAAGGAGGATAAATATGTAGAACTTAGTCTTAGGGAATCCAGGAGATGCCACAATTCCGCTCGAAGCATCCAACGTTAATAACTACCAGAGATACTTGGATGGCATATTCTCATCTTTCTAAAAAATAGGGGGTAGGTCATCTGTATGACAGTCCTTAAATAGTATACAAAAATATTTAAAAAGCAAGTTTCCAACGCAGGCATATAAGTAAAATCATTTTAATATTCAAAGCCAGTAAGAAAATTTGAAGAACAAGATGTTGTAGTCCCCATTCTTTTTGAAAGTACTTTTCTTCATATTTTCATAAAGCTGATCAAGTCTATGAACCCAAACTTAACTAAATTTAACCAAATTTATGTAAATATTAATCATCAGGATTTCGTGAGTCCATTCAGTCTCCTTTGGTAACACTTGTCACTGCTTAGATTGCAATCAGATGTAATACTTGCATCACAAATTTCACAGACCAGATTATACTCATTTGCAATCAGATGTAATACTTGTCAATGCTCACACCTGGCAATAGAAATGGCTGATTCCAGATACCAAGGGGGAAATCGTGATGAAGGTAAAGTATCAAAAGGTTTTCTTTAACTTAAATCCTCTACAACAGAAAATACAAGGAATAGTTATGGGTATAAACTTAAATGCAATCAAAGCCAGTAGCATATATATCGCAATGCAACTATGCCTACTGAAAGAAATAGCACAAGTAGAGTTTTTCTTCTTGAAGCTTCTTAGCAAAACATAAGCTCAAGCGTACTTCAACAGACTCTAGGAGTTCAGTTTGCAATCAGTGAGTCGGTAAATTGTAACATATTTTAGGATTGACATGTGATATTATAGTAAGACTTCAAGTGAATCGGGAACTACTTTCAAACAGTTTTGTGAAATTTTCTAGACAATCATTCAGGCCAGAACACGTTCAAGTGCAGAAAATAGCATAACACTACAACATAACCTCACACAATCCCTTGGCAGATATAATCAGGCAAAGTTTAACGGCAGTCTCTTTAGCAGAAAAAAAAAACGTCACAACTTGCCCAAGCAATTAACTAGCATTAATATCAATAAATGTGTGGATCTGTTGACAACTGTAAATACTCAGAAAACTAAACAAAAAGTATGTATACCTGATTAAGCATCCACTTTAAGCCAGTTGCAGCAGAGCACTCGTTCTTCGAAGCACTATTGAACCAGTCCAAATTGTAAACTTTATCTAAAGTCTGCAAAATGGAAGACACATTTTTCCTTCTCTCTCTAACAGAAAATATCTCCCCGTTCGAGCTTACATTAATGTGGCTATTTAAAAGGGTCTCAAACCACCCACTACCTGATCTCTGATTGGACAATATGGCAAAGAACAGTACAGGATTATGATCACACTCGTTCCTGGCAAACAACGTGGCAATCAATAAGCACCTAATTAAAGGCAACTGATAAAGATTTACAGAAACTTCCCAATACCTGCTAAAGGATACAGGTTTAGGATAATGTAGTAGGTGAGGAGTATTCATTAGCTTCAATCTACCACGAGAATGGTTGTCAATGACTTTAAAATCCACAAATGTAGTCCTAGCTTGTGTGCTTATCTGCTTTAAACATGCAGAGAAGATAAAAACGCCACAAACCATCGAAAACATCACAACTGCTGCCCTTAACAACATCGGTGATCTCTTTGGAGGCTTCATAACGAGAATTTCCTGCAACCACATACGCGGAAAAAGTTACTAAAATGCAAATAACGACAACTTTCATTGCTAGACGTCAAGTAGGTAAACTGATGGAGCCTCCCCTTCACTCAAAATACCAGAAGAACATAAATGGAAAAGAACACACTGGATATTCTCAAAATGGTGCCCAGCCCACTACCATCCAGATGTAATTTTTCCAACAAAATAAGATATTATTCTTGGCTTTGTTAGGATAATAGTAATTAAAAGAAAATAACCAAAAACATATCAACAATGAAAACTTTAGAGGCATAAAGCATCAGTCTCTGTAACGCATGAACCAAAAAAAAAATCCAGCAAGGCAAGTCCCTGACAAAGCACAAGAGATGCACGCATTTGCTAAAAATTAATAAATATACACGTTAAAGCATAATGAGCACCCAAATCCAGATAATAACCCAGAAACCTACAAAGGAGCTTAAAGTGTTCTTCTTTTCTTTTAGTGCTAAAGTGTTCCACTTCTTTACCCGACTTTAAACCACTCTTTCTATGAACACGCGTGACTATTTCATCTTCCCTCGTAATAGCATACTCCCAGAGTGCCAGAATTAGAGGATAAAGTACCAGAAGCCACTCTAAATTGATTTTTTGAACAGAGAGAAACCCCCCAAATGGTAGAAAGTTGAAATGTTTAAGCAAAATAGTACACAGAGAGGCGAGTTAGAAGAATAGGAAAACAAGGGAAGCAAGAGAAGCAACACATTGTGCAAAAAGGACATCTGGGTTTAACAGTAGAAAGGAGCATATAAGGAACTAGAGAGCAAGTACCTTGTAGAACAAACACATGTCTTCTACCATTGTAGTTCTGGAGAGAGAGAAGAAGAAGGTGTGAGTGAGAAGTGAGAGAAAGGGGTCAGCTTTGGAGCTCGATTGCCTGAGAGCGGAACCCCAAATGGCATTCAAAGCCCCAAATGGCATTCAAAGCCCTAAAGCCAACCCAACCCAATCCAGACGACGAGAACAACACCACCACCAACAAGGTGCCATTCTTCACGATTCCCTATGCTTGCTGTCTTGTTTCTTCTCTCTCTTTCAAAATCAAAATACTTTTATTTTATTAATGTTCTTCTTCGTTCGTTCTTTCTTTTTCTTTTTCTTTCTTTTCTTTTCTTTCACTAATCTTATTATCATGACAATGGCGATGATTAGTATTATTAGGAGTTAAAATAGCAGTAACAAATCTGGCGTGCATAACGGTGGTTTGGTAGGTGGGTAGAGGCCCACACGCGACTGCAAGAGGCGTGTGAATGATGAAGAAAACGAGAAAAAGAATAAAGCACTCTTTTCTCTGTTTCTGTATAATAGTAGTCTTAGTTATCTCACCTAAATTAAATAAAATATTCACCTTTTCTAGTTTTACTATATTTTTAATTAATTAATTATTTTCCGTTTTTTTATCTAAATAATTTATAATACATAACCATGATTTCTCCGTAAAACTTACTCTCTTTTTTTCTTATATTGCCTAAAACTATAATTGTTTATAGAAATATAGTATTAAATAAGTAATGATTTGTATTGAGAAAATTTGGACAGGGTGATGATTTTGGCGTTATTGTTTATTATAAAAAGGTGTTACGTGGATAAGTGTTACTCCTAACTACTATAAAGTAAAGGAAGGAAATTATGAGTAGTGTGATGTGGTAATTTGATATGAATGATACTACTAGTTCACATGAAACGTTTAAAAAGTGGTGTGTGGAATTAAATCTTTAGTAAAATGGTGCCACATAGAACAAATGTACCTTTTTTACCTAACATACACGACATTAAATATAAATTTACGACTCTTTAAAAGTCTTTAAAAGAAATGGTCACAAAACGAGTTGACTGAATTATATAAGAAAGAAAAAACATATAATTATTCTTGGTTTGGAGGGTGAGTTTTGTTGTGATTCACTTGTAAATAAGTTTAAAGTATAATGTTTTCTATATGCATACAAATACTTTAAATAAATAAAAGAATTAGATAGACTTTATATAAATTTAAAACTTATGTCAACTTTAAAATTAGTTTTTTCAATTTTAATTTTAAGTAAGGAGTAGTTTAAATTTTAATTAAATTTGAAGTGTTTAAGTGTGATAAAGTTCGACTAAATTTAAAAAAGGAAAAAACTAGAAATTGATATTTTTTTCACTATAGAAGTTTAAAGGAGTAAAATTAATATTTTACAAATATGTTGATTAAATCATATTTTAAATTTAGTTGTCATCACTAAAATGTGTTTTACCTTAAATGTAATTAACACTTCAAATGATCTCATAGTATCACGTCAATAATAATTGAATAAGTCATCAAATTTTTGTTAGGGAGCAAATTTGCCATTAACACTATAAGTAAAAAAGATTAACTTAAGTTTTTAAAGCAAATTTGTCATTAATACTATAAGTAAAAAAGATTAACTTGAACCGTTTTTACAAAAATAATATAGAACGTAAGTAAACTTTTAAAAAAAAGAAGATAACTTTAAACACATCCTACAGAGAACTAAAATAGGTATTAAACTTTTAAGTTTATTCAATTATAATATAAATTACTACATAGTAAAAATGCATATTATTTATCGTACTATTGCACATTGTAACGCCTTTTATTTAAATATTATTATTAAGCTTAGCTTCTCATTGTCCCCAATGTAGCTCTAAAAAGAACTACGTTCACCCCTTCCAACAAATACGCCTCAAAAAAGAACAATACACTAAAGAACAGGCCTCAGCACTTCAGATTTTAAAGTTCAACGGAATTAACTTATTATTTTTTAAATTTGGACGTGTTTTGTGTAACCTCCATATATATATATATATATATATATATATATATATATAAGTATACAAAACGATAATAAAAGGTTAAATTATTGAAAATAAACATTTTTATATTAACATATTTCAACCATAATTTTATTAAATCAATATGTATCCATTCAAATCTCATAATCAAATAAAATATAATTTTAAAATAAAATCATTCTTTCAATTAACTTTATTGATCAATCTTCAAACACTATCTACAAACAAAACTAATTCAAATTAGATATAATAGAATAAATATTTTGTATTAATTATATAATATATAAAATTTAATACATAATTCATTTTATATATTCTTGAGTTATGCATGACTCATTTTGGAAAACTTGATCATTGCTCGTATGAATGTCTCCTTTATTTATACTTTTGAATGTGAGTTTAATGGTGTAAGGTTAGACTTTGTTAAAAATGGTTATATTTTAGAGCGTTAAACTAGTTTTAATATGCATATATATTAGTTTACAATTTAAATATTCATAGAAAATAGTTAAATTAATTTATATTATATGTTGTTAGTTATTTAAATTATATTTTTAGATGTTTTCACTGACTGAACTTAGTTTTTGTTTGTGATTTAGTTTAAATGGTTATACTTTAATAATTTATATTAAATATTGAATTGTTTGAGTGAATAGTTTGAAAAAATATTGTTCATAATTTGTTATGTATACATTATAAGTTATGTATAAGTTTGATAAAGTTTTGATTTGAACCATGTTATCTTTATACATGTTTGATTGTGATATTGAATGACAACTTTTATTTCATATATTTTAGAGATTAAAGCAAAATATTGATAATTTTTCTTTATTAAATTTATGATAGATTACATGTTAGTAGTTATGAAAAATGTTTTTTCGAATGGGTAAACCTTATCTTATGAGAATAATAGAGTTTGTTACCAACATATCTATGATGCATGTAAAATAGTAAAATGTCTTCTATGTTTACCATATTAAAACTATCACACTTAACGTATAGTTCATTGTTTTAGGTATAATGACACAACGAGAATGGAACAAAAGTGGTGTATGGATTTTTTTATCATCAAGCCATTCAAAAGTTTGGTAACACAAATTCAAATCTAACAATACGTGCAAAACATGGATAATTGACTCACAAAGTGTAATATTTTATTTTTAAATTTATGACAATTATTCAACTAATTATTTCTTTTTCATTATAGGTTCCATTGATAATTACTAATAATCATTCATGAAAATTGTCAAGTTATCTGGTTTTGTTCCAACCAATTGAAGAACTTGTTATAATGGTGAATGTTATAACTCATATAATTCATTTAGTATATAATAGTTATGACTAACATATCCTCAATTTAACCAAGATTGTGATTGACACAAACATTTTATGTGGAAGGAGCTGGAAAAAAAAACAAGTTTAAATTTTATATATTGAGGTTGGATATCATTTAATCCTTTAATTATGTAGAAGTTATATGATATTAGTTTTTTCTTCGTATATTTTAGTGTAATAAGTAAATCAGTTTATTTAAATATGATTAATATGTCGGGCATTGGATGAAAGTTATCATTCATACAAGAATTCATGATCTATATAAAAGTAACACTTCTAACTTGTTAATGTTAAATGTTGTATCATTGTTTCATGCCTTCATGTTATCTATCACATATATCAAAGGAAAATATGATTCAAATAAAACAACAATAGACAAACTATCTCCTCTAATACGTACGTTAGATTTTGATCAGTTTTTTGTTTAAAGTTAAATTACTCTTTTTATTTAATAGAAGGGTCTAGTTTTTATTTTTACTTTAAAAATGTATATTATGTATTGAAAATATTCTATTTGAATTGTATATTTTGATTTGGATAAATTTTTATTTACATGTTTTTGTTTTGTACTAAAATCAATTTAATTAAAAAACATATAAAATTTACGTCTAACCATTCACAGTTGAATATATATTTACATCTAATTGTATATGTTACATAAAAAATTATATTTGATTATATGGTTAGACATAAATTTATGGGTTAAATATGTTTTTAGTCCCTAAACTATTGGCCGTTTCTGGTTTTCGTCCCTGTTTCAAAGTAAGGTACAATTTGGTCCTCATTCTTTTCGAAACGTTCGTTTTAGTCCTCGAAAACTAAATACTTTTTAAAAATTTGGTCCTCATTTAGCAACAAATGAGGACTAAAACCAAAATTCCGAGGACTAAAACGAACGTTTCGAAAAGAATGAGGACAAAATTGTACCTTACTTTGAAACAGGGACGAAAACCAAAAACGACGAATAGTTTAGGGACTAAAAACATATTTAACCCTAAATTTATATATAATTATACACTAACAAGTATAAATTTACGTCTAACAAATTTGTTTTAAACTATTATAAATTTATGTTGAGATGAATAACTCTAATGTGAATTTATATCAAGTTATTAACCTTATGGCATATTTATTTCAAAGATATTATAAAATATAAATCTATATCTTTTTAATAGACAGAAAAAACATAAAATAACAAATTCAATTAAACACAAATAACATAAAATGTCTGATCTTTAATAATAAGTTATTATGTTTACTATTAAAAAACACATATAAAATGTTTACTATTAAAAAACACATATCAAGTTATTATATTGCAAGTATATATGACTTCAAATAATTCAATTCAACATAACAACAATAAATTCAATTTATTTTCATATAATTATTCAAATCGACTAAATATTATAATATTTATATAGAAGTACATGTCACATAAGTCGATTTGGACTTAAATGTAGATTTTAATTATTCACTCGTTATTCGAACAACATATTTCCCTTATGTTGGCAACAATTTTTTGTTTAGGCAAATACAACTTAACGATTTTAAAAAATTAATTTACAACCCAAAACTATTCATTTAAAAATCTTATTCACTTTTTAAATATAGAAAATATAATTTTTCAATTAAAATAATACGAAAACACGATCTGAAGAAAATATAATTATTCAACAGTCAAATTGACCATCATAAATCTAATATCCAAATTAAAAATATATATATAAAACTGTGCAAACCTTTTCAAATCTTTTGAGGATATTCTTAATACATAAAATTGCAAGTAATACAATTGAATTTGATTACCCAATCAAAATCTTATTTGAAAAAAATTTCAACATAAAATACTTCCTACATCAACATTTGAAGAAAACTAATTTATCTTTAAAGATTTGTTTGAAATTGAAGAAAAAAAAATCCCAACTTACTCATAAAAAATCTTGATCAACAAACAACACGTTATAAATTTCAACTAACAAAAAATACATCTATTTAACTTAGAAGTCACATGAATCCCCAAATTTGTGGATAAAAAATAAAAAAAAAACAAGTGTATGAAAAAATAAA